ATGTATAATAAAACTTAGAAACCCATCTGGGTGTCGTAGCGACATGCGTGTCCCTGGACGGTCTTGGTGAAGCGGGATGTATCGAGGCCGATGTTCCTGAAGGCGGTTTCGCAGCGCCTCATGTGACGGTCCGACATGCTTGGGGCGCGGGAGAAGATGAAGGCGAAGTCCGCGAAGTAGCCTCGACTGACGTCCACGCAGGAGTGAATGCAGGCGAAGTTCTCGTAGTCCGTGTCCAGGATGACAAAGGGCGCCAGGAAAGCTGCCGATGCAACAAACACGTACTATCAGCTCCGTCAAAGACCATTTCTATTCACAGAACGTGTAGCAACCCTTCCCCGTGTATGCGATTCATGGTTCGTGCAATGCGTCATACTCACAGCCCTCGTAGTCGATGGACAGGTTGGGTTCTCCCAGAGGCATCGGCGCGATCTGTCCGTGGCGCCTCGCCGCCCTTCCCTCAGCGTTGCTGCCGGTCGTCCTGGCGGTGATTTTGTGGCCGTCTGGAAAGGTTCAAGGGCAGGAAATTTCGTCATTCTAAGATTTGGTTTAAGAAAACATATTCGAACACATGATTTTGAATTCTGACCAATTTCTCACGCAGAAAAACCGTACCGAAAGAATATTCGTTGCGCACGCACTGATGAAGCAGCTGGTATGGGTTCTTGGTCAACGCAATTTCATACCACACTCCAGCAAACTGAAATTCAGGAATACAGATAGAAATTCGTTGAAAAATAAAGAAAAAACAGCTTGTTAACATATTTAAAGACCAGGAAAACTTTTCTGAAAGCTTAGCTTACTCTCTGCAGGTCGAAGAAGGCCTTCTTGTCCACCGCAGGACACCTTCCTGGGACAACGAAGTCGGGGATTTTATCGGCAGCGACCACTGCTACGAGAGCAAGGACTAGGAGTGAGCTGTTCATGTTGCTGCGAAGGCCACAGGTTCTCTTCTGGTGCTCCTGATGGCAGTTCCCTGCTTTATGTAGCATGAGGCTCCCTGCAGACGAACGCCTGGTTGTGACACGTTCTTTTTATGGTTAATATTCTGTGTCTACAGTTTATATATTTGTCGAATTTTTTCGTCTCTGTGCATGGATTTCGCCCCCTTAAATTAACTGCATCATAAAGAAGACGAGGTACCAAAGAAGTAAATGCATACACATCCTCAAAAGGAAAAGGTGGCGCTCCTTCGAACGTCATTTGTCCCGCCCCTCGAACACTCCCCGCCCTCCGCCGCCACTCGCCCATAAAAGCCATGCACGATGCTTCATTTCGCCACCAAAGCTCCCTCAACTGAACCGAGCTCAGGAAGGCAAGGGAAGGAAAGAACCATGCTGACCGTCGTATTATCAGCTGTCCTCGTGGCTGTCGCCTCAGCTGACAGCATTCCTCAATTCGTGGTTCCTGGAAAGTGTGCGAATGTGCCTGTCCAAGACAACTTCGATTTCCGTCAGGTAGTTTGTTTCTCATGTCTTTGGTGCAGTTGTTGGTCACATTATGGATGAATATCCTTGTTTAATGCAATGGCTTCTTCCCAACAGTATTCCGGGCGCTGGTATCAGACCTCCATCATCGACAACCCTTACCAGTCCTTCACTCGCTGCATCCACTCCAACTTCGAGCACTCAGCCTTGGACAGCGGATTCCAAGTCACCACAGCCGGCTTTAGCCCTTCCAACGACTACCTCAGGATGGTGGGCAAGATCTACCCGACCAAGGACTTCCCAGCTGCACACATGCTCGTTGACTTCCCGTCCAGTAAGTCTGTCGTGTGACTAAAAGTATTTCTTTCTCTGTGACACTCAACATAAACACGGATAAGTATACAAACTAACCTTTAAGTAATCCATTGTGCATTACAACCATACTATCCTTTCTCCACAGCCATTGCCGCTCCCTTCCAAGTGGTCGCCACCGACTACCACACCTACTCCTGCGTGTACTCCTGCATCGCCTTCGACAACTACAAGGCTGAGTTTGGCTTCGTGTACTCCCGCACTCCGCAGACCTCCGGGCCGGCGACGGAGAAGTGCGCAGCCGTGTTCAGCGCTAACGGAGTCAACGTTTCTGCGTTCAAGTCTGTGTCCCACGCTGCAGACTGCGTCTACAGGGCTTGATTACATTATTCTTAATTGATGTGCTCCAGTCAACGGATGATATTTGTATCAAAAGTGCAAACAATAACATTCCTTGCTCTTTGTAAAAACACAATAAATACTGATTGAAATGTGTCGTTACTATATAACATTTATATGTATATTTTAGAAACCTTAAAACCTTAGTTTCATTAGATATAGCAACTAAGAGACGCTCATATGAGAATATGGAATGTAAATAAAAGGTACACATTACCCCCAATACACATATGAATACATAGATACACATATTATCATTGTACACACTTATAAACACATATATGTGTGTATGTGTGTGTGCACTTCTTTTCTATATACGGGTATGTGTAGAGGTTTATGCAGGAATATATAAGCATAGATTA